AATAAAAATGCAATTACAATTCCCAACCGCTAGATGGCAATTGTAGCCCTACTGAGACAGGACTACTTGGCAACGCGAGACATGAGAGTTATGCCGAGTTCACACTGCACGATTTTAGTCCGATTTTTCACTCGCCGACAGGTTTTGCGAAATCGCCGACAAATGCCCGACATCGGAGGCAAATCGGTGCTCGTTCACGCAAGTGACAATCACTCAGTGTGAATTATCAAAGACGCGATCTGAGGGAATCACCGACGCGTCGCCGACGCCCGCGAAATATTTGGCATGCTAAATATCTGGAGCTGTCGGCGATTCACAATCACGCTGTGTGAAATGAGTTCTGACTGAACAGCACATCGGCGATGACCTACAGCCAATGAGAGAGCACGATACAGGGCAGCGGGAAGTTCGGGGAGGAGTTATGTGAAACGTAGTTTTGCGGACAGTGTTGCCAAATCCGCGATTGCCGCCCGTTGTGTTTTATGTCAGCAGGTTGAAGCGACCCCAATAACGTCATATTTAGGCCCTGGAATGTGAATTGTACCAGGAGAACCCCGCCAAAAAAATGTGTATTTTACCCCCGAACGCGATTTTTACTGGGGGACCCCCTCGAAAGCAATTGGGCAATTTTCAGGCTAGTTTTGAGTAGTAATTGGGCCGGTTTTGTAGCGAAAACCTGGCAACCCTGCACCAGACAGAGCTGTCGGCGAATAATTAAGAAGCCTAAGACAGAACTTCTTAAAGCAGTAAAAAAATAAAATTAAAATAATTAAATGGTGTTCTGTTCAAGTAAGTTCAACATAAAGACTAGGGTTTGTTTAGGTTACCTACAGGTTTTTTTGCAAAAAAAACAGCATATCTACATTTTCAGGCAGAAGCTGGGATCTTTGAGCATTCACAATATCCCCTGCTGTAGAAAAAACACGTTCACTGGGAACAGAAGTTGCTGGAACTGTTAGGTAAGCCTTGGAAAGAGAGGAAAGAAGTGGGTACGTTTGAGCGTGTTCTTTCCACCATTTCAGTGGACAGCTAGTGAGGGGAATAGAAGTGTCCTTTTTGTACACGTCAAGCTCTACTTCCATCCTACATTTGGACTGAGTGACTGTTGGTTTAGAAAAAGTTGCACCAAGGAGATCTTCCAGTGCTGTCTTTTTGCTAGGTGGTGGCTGTTCTTGCTCGACTCTCTGTGTTGTCTCTCTCTTCTCTGCTGCATCAGTGGGATCTCCATCACTGGCACCGCCCTCCCTCTTTTCTGATTGCTCCACAGCCTTAAAAAAATATTAAAACAAACTATTAAGGACTGGGGAGGTATAGTATAGTTGCAGTTACCCACACACGCACGCACACACACACACACACACACACACACATCACAAAGTACACAAACATGCAAATGCAAATACACATATTCTCAAATAATTAGTAATGCAGACAGACATACCTGCTGTAACTGGTTTGATTTGTCCATCAACCGGTGGAAAACCTCTTCGCGTTGTTCAGGGAGTAGGTGGGGCAATGATCGAAATCTGGGGTCCAGTGCAGTACTCTCTAGCAGATAATCCTGTACTTCTGTGTATCTGCCTGAGAGGTTTTGCAGGATGGCTGCTTTCATGTTAGCTATAGTTGTGGAGTCTTTCTCGTCCAGTGTCATGCTCTGCTCCATCATGGAATTCAAGGGCACAATGAGTGACAGGGTGGCGCTCTTTTCATCAGACAGGACAGTGGTGGCTTTTTTTAGAGGTTTAAGAAGGTTTACTATTTCTTCTGCATCAGTGATGTCGTTGCTATCCAGAGTATCAAGTTGACGGGCATTTTTGCGCACCTCTGTGCTCAAGAGAGCTGCCGTTATAGCCGCTTGTTGCTCGAGATAGCGTTCCAGCATATCCATGGAGCTGTTCCATCGTGTTACCACATCCATGATAAGCTTATGTGATGCGATCTCAAGCATCTTTTGCTTTTCCGCGAGCACAGCTGTTGCTGTGGCACTGCGGTGAAAAAAAGCCACGACTTTTCTCACGCGACCAAGCAAGCAACTGACGCGAGAAACATTTAAACCTGCTTGCGACGCAAGATTCAATGTGTGCGCGAAACACTTAATATGCGGTGACAACCCGGCTTCTCTCACTGCCACCTCCATGTTGCGTGCGTTGTCACTAACAACAGCAGTACTAGGAGCCCTTTCAAGCTCCCACTCTTGTATAGCCGCTTTTAAAACTCCGGCTATGTTAGTTCCAGTGTGTGACTCAAAAAGCGGGCGAGTCTGAAGCACGAAACTTTTTCTGTGTCAGCAGATACATGTAAGTGTGTAACAAGTATGAAAGACAGTAATCCAACCAAACACAGTCCATGGATCCTCCAAGAACAACAACCATCCCCAAAGGAGATGGATCAACGGCGGCGGTGATCTCCCGTATCCCTCTCATCTCATCAGTCCTCCGGTAGCCTTATGAGTAACCCAAGGTACGGAGCAAACAAAGACAGCTCAAGCTCTGCACAAGCCCAGCCCATGCTCACGACAACTCGCCATCGCTGTCCCAGTCTGTTATAGAGCGCCATGATTACCTTCAGGTGTGCAACCACTCCCCTCAGCCAATCACCTGTAACTCAGAAATAACCGGTTATGCCGAGTTCACACTGCATGCGATTCACAATCACGTTGTGTGAACCCCCCCCCAATGTGATTTTTACTGGGGGACCCCCTCGAAAGCAATTGGGCTATTTTCAGGCTAGTTTTGACTAGTAATTGGGCAGGTTTTGTAGCGAAAACCTGGCAACGCTGCACCAGACAGAGCTGTCGGCGATTCTACCTTTTGTAAAGTCATGCAGTGTGTAACCTCTGTCGTCGTTCCATCGTGCAGTGTGAACACAGCAACAACTGAATGCTACCCCAGATAGTCGTTCAGTGTGAAACCAACAGTGATGCGACGTCTTTGAAAATCGTGCAGTGTGAACAGCGGGTTCACAATCACGGGTAAGCAATCTTTTAATCTTTTTCTATTAGTTGCCATCTCTTTGAATGCAAATAAATACATATATTTATTCCATTTGTATATGGTGTACTGACAGTATAGTTTTATATAATTAGTGTACAGTGAAATCTGTGAAATGTAGATCATTAAATATTTATTTAATTTCTATAGACCCTTAATAAAACATTTTCAAGTTGCCAGACATGATTAAATATATTGCTATCTATTTTAAATAAAGAGACAATTTTATTTGTCTTTTTCAAGATAACATATATTATACAATTTTTATAAGACACTTATTTACTATTGTGGTATGAATAATAAAACAAACACTTAGCACTATTATACATAATCATAGAAGTAAAAAAATTAAAAATTAAAAGAGCCTTGAGATAAATGCTTCAGATAAAGGTTTGAGCTGCAAATATCTTCAGTTGAAATTGACATCCTACAGAAGTCCACACTTACACCACATATATTATGATAACAAAGCTTATGACAGTAAACATGTTTAGAGGGCTATTTCTGACTTCTCCTTTAAACAGTAAGAGGGAGTGATTTATTTTGAAAATCAGTTGCCCTTTTTGACAGCTGTGTGCTGATGTAACCTGTTTCAGTGAAGATTCAAGTTGGACTTTCCTGTAAAAACCACATCATGAGAGTAGTTTCAGTTAGATCGCTAATCACGCAAATAGGTCATTGTTGCTTGGACCCTGATGATTGCTGCTTGTGGCTATATGTTTTTAATTGTAGTATAGATGTTGTATAGATGATATACTATAGATTAAGTATAGATGATTGAATGTTTGTTTTCTTTGGTGTTGCCACCCCTTACAGTCCTCACGCCATCCCCTTGCCACCCTAAACATCATTTTTTAGATCTGCCCCTGTAAATAGTTAGTTATTTTAATCCTATTGTTTGTTACAGTGGCATACTGGTTGCCCGCCCCCCTGCTGTTATTGTAATGCAGTCAAGACCTGCCTGCGTTTCAAAGATGGCAGCTGAGTGAAATGACATGCCATAAAGGGACTTTGATTTAGATCTCCTTCCGTTGCATCAAAGGTTGCAGCGCTGCACTGGAGCCGAACACAGTCATGTCTACTGAGAAGTGAGCACAGAATGCAATAATATCATTATTGCAATGCGATTTCTGCAATCTCACAAAAACTTTTATCATACAAACACAGTGAACAATGTAATTAAGAGACTCGTTGAGCAGTGTAAACCGTCATTGATTATAACAGATTTTTATGGCGAAAATGCAGAAATCAAATCACCAATAGATTCGCGCCAATCTTGCAATAATAACAATAATGGTTTTAATGCTGCTAGCAGAACAGTGTGAACTTGATCGTTTAGTCACTATCTTGACTTACTATTGCATAAAAAGCAGTAAACTACTTTTTTGATAGCTTTTCTCAATCACCTGTATCAAGTATTACCCAGACTTACTTTCATATGAACATGTGCAGATGATAATAAATATTACAGTGGATATTTCAAATAAGGTGTTTACACAACCAAGTCTATTAGGAACTTAAATTGGCTTCATCAGGTTATTGCAATCAGGTTACAGTTTTTTTTCCTCACTATTTTCACAAGTAAGATTTTCAAAACTCTTAGTACAACAATCCATACTGATCACACTTTTAACAGTCATTCTTTCAAAACCTGATCTCATGCTTTCATTACAATGACACACATTTTCAGTCAGCATAGTCATTGTTTCAGAACACAAGATTATTGTAATATGTCATGAGGAATTTTTTTTTTTGTCAAAAAGAGCTTTATTGCCAAGCATATTTACACACACAAGGAATATGTGTTGGCGACAGGAGCTTCCAGTGCAGAAGAAAGTACAGACATAGCATACATGACAGTGTAGACATACAGGAATTACACAGTAGATATGAAATATAACACTAATATAAGAAAACTGAAAAATTTAATAATACAATATAATTCAGAAGTAGAAATATAGAGAAAAAAAACATATATAATTGTTTTAATGAATGTACAGATATGTTACAGTATGATCTTTTACCAGTCAGTTCATTTAATAGAAAACAATGCAAGATACATGTTTCAAATCGCACTTGTTGCTGAAATAATTACAGGAACTCAGTCTACAGATGCCACAGTAGAAAATACACTTACATTACCTAACTTACGTAACTGGCATAAAATCTGGTATCTCTTCAGTGTGTCACCAAAAAAATGTCCCTACAAGGTTAAAAATGAATGGTATTTCCATCCTTGTGTAATGTAGGGTTTACCAGGACCACACACACACATGCACTCTTGGAACATAGTGGTAATATGTAAGATAAATCGCTTACTATGTAAAAATAATTCTTTACATTTTGGATTCTGTATCGAAAAACTGGAAACAAGTTCTATAAAAACACTTATTTTGTGTTGTGAACAGGATACTTTTTGATTTTGTGTTTTGTACTCACACAATTGAAAACATATTGAAATGTTTGAAAAAAGTGTACTTTTGATGATCTATTGTGAGTTTTGAAAGTGTAACGCTTGTGTAAATTGTTGCAAAGCAATTCAATTTTTATTTATTTTTTTCATATTATAAGCGATTTATCTTAGTTTATGTTCAAAGTGTGTGATCCTGGTAAACGTTGGATGGCAATACCAGTAATATAGACCTTGTGGGGACACTTTTTGGTCTCTATGAGGAAAACAACTTTTTTTTTGTAAAAATGCAAAAGGTTTTCTGTGAGTGCTGTGTTTAGGGATAGGGTTAGGGAATAGAATATACCAACTGTATATTCTAACCTTTATGTCTATGCGTCTCTAATCATTAAATGTGCTCAAATTGATACCAGTGATAATGATGGTGATTGTGTCACTTGTGATCACATCTGATCTCAGGTTCAGTTTTGAGTGAATAAACACAGATCAGCTGTCTGCTGTTCACTGATCATCTCAATAGTTTATGACTTTAAACACAAAGATGGGAAAAAAATAATTTTCATAATTCACGTATGTATACAGTGCAACAGAAAAAAACTGTGAGGAAAAAAATATCGTACATTTGTTTAAAGCTGTTATATGCAAATAAACACAAGTGAAGGTGCCATACAAAACAGGAGATTATGGAAATTCCAAAAGGCCTCTATACTAGTCGCCTTGCCTTGACTGCGTATGCTACTATATGGATCTGTTCAGAATTACTAAACACACCAAAATAAAAATAAAAAACATAGTAAATGCTTCTTCTGTGAGCATCCATGATAAAACACTCGGCAGACATGAATTTCAACAACTTTGTGAATATACTGAAATTATGCTTGCAATGTTAGCAATCAGTGTGCTAAGAGTGCACATACATGTTTTGTTTGATAATAACAATAGTAACAGACTCCAGCATGTCTAATGTATGACTCCTCTATGTCACCTTGAGTCGTCAACCATCTAAACTTTGCGTCATCCAACGAGAGTCAGTTCCCATAGGAAAAATGTATTGCTCAGTGGCTGCTTTTTCTAAGCTCAGGAGACTTAGATGAGATTCTCATATATCTCTCATTTTAGTATCAACAGCATTTCAGATGTTTCTCCTAAAATTCCTTAGGAGAAATGGAAGTAGACACAAATGAGACATGAGAAATATTTGAGAGAGAAAAAAAGAGTCAAAACAGAGAATGTGTTGGAAGAAACATAAAATATCTCTTTATTGTCTTGCTGCAATCTCTATCAAGACTCCATTATAGGAATACTTTATTGCTCAGTGGTTGCTCTTTCTAACCTCAGGAGACTTAGTTGTGATTCTCATGTATTTCTCATTTTAGTCTCAACAGTGTCTCAGATGTTTCTCCTAAAAATCCTTAGGAGAAATAAAAGTAGACACAACTGAGACATGAGAAAGTTCTGAAAGAAAGGAATCCAAAATGACAATGGGAGAGAAACGTGTGAGAAACATGGGAGATCTCTTTATTGTCTTGCTGTAAGCTCTTGCAAGACTCCATTATAAAAATGTTTTACTGCTCACAGTTGCTGTTGCTATTTTTATTGCAATGGGTTTTTCACCTTTAATGGTCAGGACAGTAGGAGTAGAGACAGGAAACAATTGGACAGGTGAGAATTGAACGGGAGCAGGAAAGTACCTTTAGCTGGGATTCGAACCCATGTTGTTTGAGGTGCCTTCACGTCAATGTGCTGCCCACAAGGCTAAGGCTCTGACAGGTTACTCTACGCTCAGGATACTAACATTTCTTCCATGTATTTATAATCAAATTAGTCAATTAATAATCAAGACTGAGTCATAAGCCATTTATGTGCC